CACTCACCTCAGCCTCCCAAAGGCGCGGGATTACAGGCTAAGCCACCAAGCCCGGCTAGGATACTTTCATTTTTACATGACATTAAAAATCAAAACAGTATCAAAACATAAATAAACATGCAACTCTGTTGATCATTGGAAAAAAAATAGGATTCCTACTTCTTTTAAAATCCAGGCTGGAGGCCAGTGCAGTGGGTCATGCCAGTAATCCCAGCACTTTGGGAGACTGAAGTGGGAACGACTGCTTGAGTTCAGGAGTTCAAGAACAGCCTGGGCAATACAGCGAGACCCTGTCTCTCCAAAAATAATTTAAAAGGTTAGCCAGGCATGGTGGCACGTGCCTATAGTCCCAGCTACTTGGGAGACTGAGGTGGGAGGAGCCTTCAAGCCCAGGAGGTTGAGGCTGCAGCGAGCCGTAATCATGCCACTGTACTCCAGCCTGGCCAACACAGTGTGACCCTGACTCAAAAAAAAGATAATAGGCCGGGCGTGGTGATTCAAGCCTGTAATCCCAGGACTTTGGGAGGCCCAGGTGAGTGGATTTCCTGAGCTTATGGGTTCGAGACTGACCTGGGCAACATGATGACACCTCATCTCTACAGTAAATCAAAACATTTGCCGGGCATGGCAGTGTGTGCCTGTAGTTCCAGTTCCTTGGAAGGCTGAGACAGAAGGATCGCCAGAGTCCAGCAGATTGACACTGGGGTGGTCATGAGCGTCACAACTGTACTCCAGCCTGGGCGACAGAGTGAGATTCCAACTCAAAAAATAAAAATAAAAAGGTAATAAATAAATAAACAAAACCCAGCCTGAGGAGGTCCAAGTCTTCCTTCACCAAAACCTGAGGTGGGAGGCGAAGCCAGGGAGCCCTCAGGGCAGAGAACAAAGGGCCCCAGCTCAGGATCTGGGTTCAAGTCTAATGTCCCTGCCTTCTTCCAGGATGTATTTGAGCAAGTCACTTCCTCACCTGTGGACCTCAGTCATCAAATGTGTAAATGGGGGTAATGGCCACTGCTCAAGCCTCCTCAAATGATCAGATGAGATCACTGACGGGGATGTGCTCGGCATATCATACACGCCAGCCATGACTAGGGACCACTCATGGGACATGCACTCTGCCAACTGCTTCTCTATGTCAACATGCTTAATCCTCAAAGCATTCTTTTTTTTTTTGAGTTGGAGTCTCACTCTGTCGCCCAGACTGGAGTGTAGTGGCCGCTCTCGGCCACCACAGCCTCGACCTGCTGGGCTCCAGCAATCCTTCTGCCTCAGCCTTCCGAGTAGCTGGAACTACAGGCGCACGCTACCATGCCCGGCTAATTTTTTATTTATTGTAGAGATGAGGTCTCGCCAAGTTGCCAAGGGGGTCTCGAACTCGCGGGCTCAGGCAATCCACTCATCTCAGCCTCCCAAGGCGCGGGATTACAGGCTGAGTCACCGAGCCCAGCTCCTCAAAGTATTCTTAAGGGACATGAGTGCTAATACCACCCCCTGCTTTTTTTGGAGTTGGAGTTTCACTCTGTCACCCAGGCTGGAGTGCAGCAGCATGCATACAGCCACCGCGGCCTCAACCTGCTGGGCTCAGATGATCCTTTCGCCTCAGTCTTCCAAGTGGCCGAAATGACAAGTGTGCGTCGGCTTATTTTTTGATTTACTGTAGAGATGAGTCTCACCAAGTTGCTCACAATACCCCATTTTTTTTTTTTTTTTGAGTTGGAGTCTCACTTTGTCGCCCAGACTGGAGTGCAGTGGCCACTCCCGGCCACCGCAGCCTCGACCTGCTGGGCTTCGGCGATCCTTCTGCCTCAGCCTTCCAAGTAGCCGGAATTACAGGCATGCGCTACCATGCCCGGCTGATTTTTTGATTTATTGTAGAGATGAGGTCTCGCTGCCCAGGCGGGTCTCGAACCCGCGGGCTCAGGCAATCCACTCACCTCAGCCTCCCAAGGGCGTGGGATTACAGGCTGAGCCACTGAGCCCAGCAACACCCCTTTTTTTAAAGATGAGGAAACCAAGGTTCAGAGAGGTACGAGGACTGGCCCATGGTCATGCCACGAGCACATGACAGCCAAGTCTGAAACTCGGGTCTGACTACAGAGTCCAGGTCCTAACCAGTGCACTTTCCTGCCTCGGGGAACATTTTCCGAAGTATAGGTGGAGGAACCCCAACCCAAAAATGTCTATGGGATCAAGTAAGAGTAGGGAAACACACTTGCTAGGTTCCTCTCAGAGACTCATTATGCTCAGCTCAATACAGTCAAGGCTCTGAGAAGTCCTACAGCAAGGATAACAAGAAATCGCTGTTTCCTGGAATGAAGTAACCACTGTTACCGAAGAAACTGGTGTTCCACGGAACATACTTTGGGCAATGTGGCCACGAGGCTGCAGCAGCAACCCAGGCTAGTGAGATCGCGGGTTGGGGAGGAAAAACAGAAGTTTGCAATGAAACGATAATCCCATTCAAAGAATACAGCAACCAGGGGCTGGGCGCAGTGGCTCACACCTGCAATCCCAGCACTCTGGGAAGCCAAGGTGTGAGGATTGCTTAAGCCCAGGAGTTTGAGCAACATAGCAAGATCTCATCTCGACCAAAAAATTAAAAAATTAGCTGCGTGTGATGGTACACACCTCTAGTCCCAGATATTCAGGAGGTCAGGGCAGGAAGGGGGGCCTGAACCCAAGAGGTCAAGGCTGCAGCGAGCCGTGAGTGTGCCAGCTTAGGCAACAGAGTGAGACACCCAACTCAAAAAGAAAAAGAAAATGAGTACAGCAATCAGACATCCCTCAGCTGGCCACTGAGTCTGGAGAAGGAGGAAGAGAATAATTCTGCTGTCTGTACCCACAGTGAGAGGAAATAAGGAGTTGGAGAGAGAGAGACACTGCCCTTTGCTCCCCAGGTTGGGGAAGACACCTGACTGGAGTTGGCACTGGCCTGGAAGGACAGGGCCCCAGTCCTTACCCCGAGGACGGCTCTGCTATCTGCGCGTTGGCTGTTGGTGCTGAGGCTGGCCCACGTCTGTTGGGGCAGGGTCCTGGCATTCCTTTCGCTCCATGGACGCTGCCTCCCTATGAGAAAGCGAGAGCTACTGTGAGCAGGCATGTGTGTGACTGTCAGAGTGACCTGCTGTGCTACCAGAATTTTTTTTCTCTTTTACGTATGTGTGTGTGCTGGGGTCTCACTCTGTCTCCCAGGCTGGAGTGCAGTGGCACCATCATGGCTAATGTAGCCTCAACCTTCTGGGCTCAGGCGATCCTTCTGCCTCAGGCTCCAAAACAGCTGGGGACTACAGATGTGCACCACCATGCCCAGCTAATTTTTTGACTTATTGTAGAGACAAGGTCTTACTGTGTTGCCCAGGCTGGTCTCAAACTCCTGGGCTCAAGCAGTCCTCTCGCCTCAGCCTCCCAAAGTGCTGGGATTATAGGCGTGAGCCACTGCACCTGGCCTGAAAAAGAGCATTCCGGGCAAAAGAGAGAGGGAAGAGAGCCTGGAAGAGAGAGGATGTGGCATCTAGGGAAGCCTGAGGGGATTAGCATGGCTAGATCCACAACCAGGGGGCACGTGGCAACACCTGAGCCACGTGGAGAGAGCTGGACCAGGCAGAGACACAGCCTCTGCCCTGACCCTAACTCAGATGCCCAGTGCACCTGTCCCTGCTACTGGCCACCCAGTGCCTGGGAAGCATTCTCTCCATCCACCAGGCACTCTGTGTAGACTCCATGGGGGTCAGAGAGCAGTGCCGGCAGGGTGGGGAGAGGGTGTGGCCACCAGAGCAGGGACAGCAGGGAGCACCTAAACTAGCCAGGCGTGCGTGCGGAGAGTGGCATGGCCACTGGGGAGGACCAAAGGATTGGCAAGAGTTTGCCAGGAAGGGGAAGGGCAGGAGCAGACAAAGGGAGCTGAACAGATCAAGGGGGCTGTGGAACCTTTCGACCACTTCTGCCACCACCTTAGTTCCAGGCTCTCTGCTGGAAGGACAGATTAGGAGAGGGTGTCCACCCTCACAGCAGACAGGTCAGTGACCTAGCAATCCCACAAAGCACCTACAACTGTGCAGCACGGTGGCCATCCAAGCCAACCTCTACCCCCACCCTGCCGTCCTTGGCAAGGCTGGGGAACCCACTGAGGTTGGGCAGTCCAGTCTGACCCACGGTAGGGCTGGGACCAGAACTCGGGACTCTGGACTCCCTGTCACTGATCATACTAGTCCCTCCTCTTCCAGGAAGCGGCCCTGACCACCCTCTACATATTCACCCAGAACCAATCCCTCCTCTGCCTAGGCTGCCTCTATAATACTCCTGTTATTACAGTGCCCACACTATCAGAACTTTTGTTTTTTTGTCACCTCTCCTCCCAGGCTGCAGCTCTGAGGAGGCCAGAGACATGTTTTCCCAGTCACCCCTGACCCAGGACAGACATTTAGTCAAGGGTGGTCAAATGAATGACTGAGGGAGAGATGGTGTGCTGGGCTACAGGACGCCACATTCATCCCACCTGAGCACCCAGGTCTCAGTCCATCAGCCTGTGCCTCAGTGTCCCCACCTGAAAGCCTGAAATCACCTCTGCACTCAGGAGAGGAAGGCAGGAACCAGTGTGATTCCTTCCCTTCCCTTCCACAGGCAAGGTCCAGGCCAAGCCAGGCAGCAACCCCAGGCCTAGCCACGTCCCCGAGTTCTGACCTGCCTGGGTGGTCTTCAGGAGCCCCCACTGTCCAGAAAGGCCACCCAAAGTTTGCAACGAAACTGCTTCCAGTGGATGTGCCTGGCCAAGGGATGGAGACAGCACACATCTGATGGAGTTCTGGGGGGGAGTCACAAACATTTCTTGGGCCCCTGGAAGGTGAAGAGACTCTAAAAGTCTGGGAAGACAAGGCGGCGGAGGCCAGGCATTTATTCCCACCATGTCCACAACGGCCAGTCCTTCAAAACGAGTCACCTGTCCCTGCCTTCCTCCTGAGTCAGGGTGGGCCTTGACCTTCACAGAGGCAACACCAGTATGATGAGCCATCAGCCCTGCTCGGTCCCTCAACCAACTCCCACTCCCCCATCCCCTCCACAGGAAGCACCAGCGGCCCATCTCCTCCCTGCCGTATGGTCTGTCTGCTCCAGAGGGCAAAACAGTCTGGCAGGGGTTAAGAGACTACAAGAAAAGACGGCAGAGGCCCCTGGGAACTCTCACACAAATCCCTCCTCCACAATTTAGGCCCAAATTCCCTTCCCCCACCGAGCTCGCTCCCTCCACCCCTCATCCTCAAAATGCTTCCCGGGCGGGCAGGGGAAGAGGGGCCCGTGGAAGTGCGGCTCACCCAGGAACCACCCCGCCCTTCCAGCCAAATCCCCATCAGGAGGAGGCTGGCAGACAACCCCCAACCCACCCCTTCTTCCCAAAAATGGCAATTAACTGCATCAGCTGGGGACCAGCGATGGACGGTTCGCTCCAGTCCAGTCCCAGAACAAGAAGCCATCAGCAAAAGCAGCAGAATCATCACGAACCCAAGGACTCCAGGCTACGGTCCCTCGGCCTGGGAGCCAACTTTGCGGATCTCCAGCTCACCTATGGCTGCACCGAGCCCGAGTCTCGCCGGATCCGGCTCTCAGGCCCATCTGGATGCGCGGGACAGGGGCAGGGGCAGGGTCTGGGGGCTCAGGCCCCGGACCGGTCTTGCCAGAAACCCCAGCCCTGACAGGCCCCAAGAGTCTGGCCAGGGTTCCGGCCCCCAAGACCGGCACTGTCCCTGCCAGGTCAAGAGGCGGGAGGGCTCCAAGGGAGGAGGGGACCGGGAACCCGGGAGAACACAGCCGGGGAATCTTGGAAAACGCAAAAGACCTGGCAAGGAGAGAGCCCAGAAGTGGAACCTCTAGGAAGGGGAGAATGTGTGTGGAGGGGCGAGGATCTGGGGGGACCCAGGAGATG